AAAACAAACATTCGTCCTCGAACGAGTATAGAGACATAGCTGAAGTGGTTAAAAGATGAGGATAACGATTGCGCATATCATTCTCGGTCTCCCAAGTCGCTTCCTCTACCCGATGACCCCTCTACTGCACCTCCATTGATGCGATGCTCTTTGACCTCAACTTTCGGACATGTCTGTCCAAGATGGCCACCGGCTCCTCAACATAGGATAGATCCATGTCCAAGTGGACTGAGCTGAAGTCTAACACATGAGACGGATCGTTGTGATACTTCCTGAGCATGGAAACATGGAACATTGGATGAACTGCAGTGAGACTAGGTGGTAGTGCAAGTCTGTAAGCCACCTCTCCAACCCTCTCAAGAATCTCAAAAGGCCCAATATACCTAGGGATCAACTTTACCTTCTTTCCGAACCTCATAATACCCTTCATGGGCGAAACTCGGAGCAAGACCCACTCCCCAACCATAATAGCAACGTCGCGAGCCTTCCGATACGCATAACTCTTTTGTCTGGACTGGACTGTACTGAGTCGATCCTGAATCAATTTAACATTTTCCAAAGCATCCTGAACCAAGTCTGTACCCAATAGCCTAGCCTCGCCCGGCTCGAAGAAACTCACTGGAGACCGACACCGCCTACCATACAAAGCCTCATACGGTGCCATCTGAATGCTCGATTGATAATTGTTGTTGTAGGCAAACTCCGTCAGTGGCAAGAACTGATACCAAGCCCCCCCATATCTGAATAGTGCGCTCAGATTGTCCGTCCGTCTGAGGGTGAAATGTTGTATTCAACTCCACCCGAGTACCCAACTCATACTATACGGCTCTCCAGAACCGCAATGTAAACTACGTACCCCGATCATAGATGATAGATACTGGTAGGCCATGAAGCCTGACAATCTCGCGAAAGTAAACCTGAGCCAACTACTCCGAAGAGTAAGTAGTAACCACAGGAATAAAATGAGCTGACTTGGTCAATCTATCCATAATTACCCAAACTGTATCAAACTCCCTCTGAGTCCGTGGGAGCCCAACGAAATCCATAGTGATTCGCTCCCATTTTCACTATGAAATCTCTAACTTCTGAAGCAATCCACTCGGTCGTTGATGCTAATACTTCTCCTATTAACAATTTAGGCACCGGGCTACATATTCCACTATGTACTTCTTCATCTGCCTCCACTAATAGTGCTACCTCAAGTCCTGATACATCTTCACGGCACCTGGATAAATGGAGTACCGCAAACTGTGATCCTCCTGGAGAATCAACTCACGTAATCCATCTACATTGGGCACACATAGCATGCCCTGCATCTGTAATACACCGTCATCTCCAATGGTGATCTCCTTGGCATCGTTGTGCTGAACCGTGTCTTTAAGGACAAGAAAATGGGGGTCATCATACTGACGCTCTCTGATATGATCATAAAGAGAAGATCGAGAAACCAAGCAAGCCAATATTCTGCTCGGCTCGGAAATATCCAATCTGATAAACTGGTTGGCCAAGGCCTGAACATCCAAGGCTAAAGTCCTCTCTGCTACCGGTAGATATGCTAAACTGCCCAAAATCTCCGCCTTGCGACTCAAGGCATTGGCCACCACATTGGCCTTCCTGGGATGATAGAGAATGATGATATCATAATCCTTAAGCAGCTCCAACCATCTTCGCTGCCACAAGTTAAGATCCTTCTGTTTAAATAAATAATGTAGACTCCGATGATTGGTGAAGACCTCACAAGGGACACCATAAAAATAGTGCCGCCATATCTTCAAGGCATGAACAATAGATGCTAACTCGAAGTCGTGGACCGGATAATTCTTCTCATGCACCTTCAGCTGTCTAGACGCAAAGGCAATCACCCTACCATCCTGCATCAACACTGCGCCGAGACTAATGCCCGACGTGTCACAATACACCATATAAGGCCCCGAACTAGTAGGCAACACCAATGCTGGGGCTGTAGTCAAAGCAGTCTTGAGCTTTTAAAAGATCTCCTCACACTCCTCGGTCCACCTGAATGGAGCAATCTTCTGGGTCAATCTGGTCATAGGTGCTGCAACAGACGAGAAACCCTCTACAAATCGACGGTAATACCCCGCCAAGCCAAGAAAACTTCGGATCTCTGTAGCTGAGGATGGTCTAGGCCAACTCTGCACTGCTTCAATCTTCTTCGGATATACCTTGATCCCCTCACTCTATACCACATGACCCAAAAATGCCACTGAATCTAGCCAGAACTCACACTTCGAAAATTTTGCATATAACTTCTTTTCCCTCAAGGTCTAAAGCACAGTCCTCGTGTGCTGTTCATGATCCTCCCGACTCCGGGAGTACACCAGAATGTCGTCAATAAACACAATGATGAAAGAGTCAAGATAGGGATAAAATACACTGTTCATCAAGTGCATGAATGTTGCCGGGGCGTTGGTCAGCCCAAAAGACATCACAAGGAACTCGTAATGACCATACCGAGTCCTGAAAGCAGTCTTCGGGATATCTGGCTCTCGAATCTTCAACTGATGATAGCCTGAACGCAAGTCGATCTTAGAAAAAACTCTGGCACATTTAAGCTGATCAAATAGGTCATCAATACGGGGCAATGGATACTTGTTCTTCACTGCAACATTGTTCAGCCGGCGATAATCAATACACATTCACATAGAACCATCCTTCTTCTTTACAAACAAGACAGGAGCACCGCAAGGCAACACAGTGGGCCGAATAAAGCCCTTATTAAGCAACTCTTGCAACTGTTCCTTTAATTCTTTCAACTCTACTGCCATACGATAAGGTGGGATATAAATAGGTTGCGTGCCCGGTAACAAATCAATGCCAAAGTCGATATCTCTGTCGGGCGGCATGCCCGAAAGATCCGTCGGAAATATATCTGGATAGTCCCTCACTACCGAAACTAACTCGACGGTAAGAGTATCAGCACTAACATCCCTCACATATGCCAGATACACATCACACCCCTTCTCAACCATTCGCCGAGCCTTAAGAAATAAGACAACCCTGCTAGGAACATGATCTAAGGTACCTCTTTACTCTAGCCACGGTAGACCTGGCATAGCTAACGTCACCATCTTGGCGTGGCAATCAAGGATAGTGTGATAGGGCGACAACCAGTCCATGCCCAAAATAACATCAAAAGCCACCATACTGAGCAATAATAAATTGTCTATGGTCAATAAATCACTAAGAACAATCAAACACAACCGATACACACGGTCAACAACAATAGAATCACCCACCTGTGTAGACACATAGACATGTTAGCTCAGAGAATCATGGAATACACCCAAATACGAAGCAAAATAAGATGACACATAGGAATAAGTGGAACATGGATCAAATAAGGCTGATGCATCTCTATGCCAGACTACAACAATACTTGTGATGACAGAATCAGATACAACTGCCTCCGTCCTAGCAGGAAGGGCATAATATCTGGCCTGACCTCCCTCTCTAGGGCGAAATTGATCAAAAATAGCAACAAGATTATTGATAAAAAATGAGTACAAGAGACTTACCCCAAGAAATCCCTCGAAAATTCTCTAAACAATCACCAAGGCCCGAGCTCAAAATGTTTAAAATGAAGCAAAATCGTGAACCCTTGTATTTAAGTATTCTGCCAGCACTTCCGCTTCTGCGAAAGCTTAACCGCTTATGCGGCGTCACAGAAGCGACCACTCACTCGCATCTGTGGATTCTTCTGCTCCCGTGTCCCCTCACTCCGCTTCTGTGGACTCACTTCTACAGACTCGCTTCTGCGAGCCTCCAAGACGCTTCTATGGTCCCAGCTTCCTTGCTCAACTCCTCTTCTGCGGTCACTCTTCCAGTGAAGCGACTCCGCTTCTACGGCCTTCACACTGCACCTCCGACCACATGCCATTTTCTCTAGCCCCGCATATGCGCCCAAATGCTCGCTTCTACGAGCTCGCACCAGCTGTCAATCTTGCGCAGGTGCAATTACACCAGCACTAGTGCACTTAAGCCATTCTCATAAGTCCAAATTGATCCGTTAACCATCCGGAAATCACCCGAGGCCCCCGGGACCTCGACCAAATATACCAACCAGTCTTAAAATATCATACAAATTTAGTTGAGACCTTAAATCATATCAAACAATGATAAAAGCATGAATTGCGCATCGATTAAAGCCTAATAACTTCAAAACATTAAACTTCTACATCTGATGCTGAAACCTATCAAATCAAGTCCGGTTGACCTCAAATTTTGCACACAACTCATAATTGACATTACAGACCTACTCTAACTTCTGAAATCGTAAAACGACCCCGATATAAAAAATTCCACTCCCGGTCAACTTCCCAAAAATTATCCAATTTTCCAACTTTCGCCAATTGACGCTAAAATGACCAACGGACCTCCAATTCAACATCCGAACACAATTCTAAGACCAAAATTACCCTACGGAGCTATTGGAACCGTCGAAACTCCATTCTGGAGTCGTCTTCACACAATTCGAACTACGGTCAATTCCTAGAACTTAACTCCCAATTTAGGGACTATGTGTCCCATTTCACTCCAAAACTAAAAACAAATCCCCCAGCAAGTCACGTAACCATAAAATAAAATAGAGGGGGTAATAAATAAGGGTTCGGGGCTAAGACTCTCAAAACGACCAGTCGGGTCATTACATATACCAACAGAGAAATGAACGTTACAAGAGATAGAACTCTGGAACAAGTTGAAATGAAAAAAAGACAAATATGTAGAAGAAATGATTAAACAATTAAGCAATAAAAGGAGAAATATACAACTAAAGAAAGGCAAGAGAAACAAGGGACCGACATGGTAACTAGAACTTACTCTGATGTTATCTTGAAAATGAGAAGGAAGTTCCTTAGCATAACTTTCGGAAAGCTTAAAGTATAAGATAAAACTCATTCCTTCACCATCAATTTCACCATGAAAAAAGCGGCAGGATATAATGACACCTGTAAAAAAAATAAAGAGGGTGAAAGAAGCTACTCAGCAGCTCAAATAAATGAATATTTAAATACGAACTGGTTCATCGAGAGAATACAAACTACTTGAACACAAGAAAGTAAAGCTCTCACGCTATCAAATATGATTTTTTATGAGTGAGAATAAGGGTAAAACCCACTGGCTTGAGAATAACAACGTTGGAAATAACAGAGAGAGAGAGAGAGATGAAGAGGAGAGAGCAGAGAAAGAGAGGCGAAGAAAGAGGGATGTGATTCGTTTACCAATTAAAAGCCCTAATAGTAAGGGAAGGGTTCTTATTTATTACTAATTTATATATAATTGGTAAATTTATATAATTTAAAACCTCTTTAGTGATAGTAAATAAGTCTATAATATATGGCTGGGTAAAAATCAAATATTATGATTATGATTTGGATAAAGAAAGAGTAAAAATATGTCTTTGCCTGTTAAAACAAAAAGAAAATGGCCAAGAGAAGGTAATTAGGAGCGAGTCCACCGTGATTGGTGATAAGTCAACCTTCTAAATTAATCATGTGTTGATCTCGCTTTTTATTTTCTTTTCTTTTGCATGTGTGCGATTCGCAAAAAAATATAGAGAGAGGGAGACAAAGATGGATGGAGGTTCATTCTCGTCAAGCATAGGAGATTCAATAGATTTTGAGGAGAAAGATCTATAACTTAGTGATAAGCTCAAAGTCTTTAAAGGTTCATTTTGATCTTGATTCCTATGTTACCAATCGATGGTGTCACATGAGCGAAAAAGTAATTAATTAACCTCTCTGCATTATTATATGCCCATGCATACTCATGCACATTTATTCATACCAACTATGTGGTATGAATTTCTTCTGGGGTTCGAGCCCTCATAATAGTTTCATCCTCTTGTAGATGTACTTAATAGATGCACCAAAAAATTTTCATTGAACTCCTTATACATAATTTCTTCTATCTCTACTTAATTAAGATGAAAGCCGATAAGAAGTGCGTCTTGCTTGGAAAGACCATTGCCAAAAAGGGGCCAAGCTCGTTTATGCCCTTAATTGGCTTCAAAAAGCATTAGAAGCCCTTTTTTTAACTTGCGGAGTAATCAAGGAATAGAGGCTACCATTAGGAAGAGGAACTATTTTCTCTCTATCTAGCTCCTCGCGATATAGGCTTTATAGAGGCTTCTCATAAAGTATTAGCTTTCTACTCGGACTTGAAATCCTTCCCCTGGTTGGCTGGCTGTTTTAAATAAAAATAATGCACATAAAGATAAGATTTAAGCTTCACTGAAAAAAAAAAAAAGCTTTTTTCTTTCTTTTCATCCATATCTTACTGAACAGTGGATTGTGTACATTTGGATTAACTTTTATTTCCCCTCACAAAGTGCATTGCCTTCTTAAGTTTGCTTTTCTTGGGGTCCAAAGATACAAGTTTTCAATGTCTATTATTTATTTTTCATGTTATCAGACACGTAAGCCATCGGTCTGTTCTTGTTAAATATGACAGGGAGATGGAATTATAGGAAATTAGAATTTGCAATAGTTGAAGTTTCAGTGATGTGATTAGTCTATTGCTTATGAGTATGAAATCTGTTGACATGCTTTTGTTGAAAAGTTAAGCTACGATTACTCATATGCTTGGTTGAAAATTTGTTTTTTCAGTTTCCATTTTAGTGACTACTTCCTCTCTACCTTCACAAGGTAGGGATAAGGTCTGTGTACACACTACCCTCACCAGATCCCACTTTGTGAGATTGCACTGGATTTGTTGTTGTTGTTATTTTAGTGACTACTTAATGAACTATAGTTACTAGTAAAATATTCATCTGCTGCTGAAACAACCACTATCATCCTTTTGTAATGTATCTAGGTTGTTGGTGCATCACTTGCAGGACAACTTATTGCCTTGAGAAATCTCCTATCTACTCGAGCTGCAATTGTTCATTCGTTTAGCTGAAGGAATTAATGTTGATTCTCTGTCTAGATCCGAGGGTTTGACACAAGATGATAGTTCTAATTTTGGTGACAGATATGCCGCCAATTTTGAGAGTTGGTTAGGACAATTTATAGAGAGGCTGGAAGTGTTTCTTGCTGAGAGGAGAGTGGATAAAGCTTTGGATGTGCTGGATGAAGGTGAACATATGGCAAAGGATTCTCGTAGTAAACAGACACTGACTTCAGGTATACCTTGATCAGTGTAATATGCAGAAATTACAAGGTAATATGCAGGGTCTTCGGCCTTCAGGTACTTCACATGCAGTAGCATATAGTGCTACTCTTTCACAGCTTGTATTCTCGACCATTGCATAGGCCACAAGTGATTCCTTGACCTTATTTAATGATGAACCTTGTTATTCGTCTGAGCTAGTAACGAGAAATTTGCAGCATCAGGATGCTTAAGAGAAATTTGCTCGTGTAATTAAGAGACATGTGATAGCTTCACCAGCAGCATCAGGATGCTTAAGACCTGTTGTTGAAAGTGTTCACATAAGTCTCGGGCACTGCTCTTTACTCGAAGCTCGGGGGTTGGCCCTTTCACCGGTTCTCTTGAAAATCTTTAGGCCCTGTGTTGAGCAAGCACTGGTTGCCAATATAAAGGGGATTGAGTAGTGCACTGCTGCAATTGCTACTGATGATAATTGGTCGCTAACTTATCCACCAATCGGCTCCCGTTCTCTAGGAACTTCATCTCTTGCTGGTGTCATTGCCTCCCAGCCAAAGCTCTCAAGCAGTGCTCATAGATTCAACACAATGGTTCAGGTGATTCATTTATCACCAATAACCACCTCTTGCATTTAGCTTTGTTTCTCATATATTCCCAATTCTTGTTTTTTTTCCTGTGGATGGTGTGATAACTGTGATAATTATTTTCATTCTCATAATTACAGGTGGTAGCCCAAATAAACAAAACATATATACTGATTATGCATATAGTATATTATATGTATATTTATGTATGTCATATGTATATTTATACATAATCTATATTATACTAAAAGCACAAACGCTCTTAGCGAAATGCGATTTGCCTTTTTTACCCATTAAAAATATATTTTATATTGGATGAAATTATAAAATCAAAAACCTTTCCTAATTTTTAGGAGTTCAAAATCAAATGGAGAAAGTTATTTTCAATATTATTATATGTTGGATAGTTTTTACAAACAAAGACACAAAATATTTTAAAACAATAAAAAAGACCACAAAAAATAGGAAGAAACTTTCTCTTTCCAACAAGAAAACTCCACAATTTGTGTTTTTTCTGTCCTTGTATTTTCTTCATACAAGAACAATTTTCCTATTTATTTTTGTCACGATCCGAAATCCCCATCGCGGGATCGTTATGGCGCCTAACACCGAATGCCAGGCAAGCCAACATAACAGATAATATAAAAAGAAAATTAATAAATATCTAATAACTAACCGATGACATAACAAAACTATCCCAAGACCTTTGGTGTCATAAGTACATGAGCGTCTAAATCCAACTAAATACAAAGTTTGAAACAAATAAAACACTCTACGTAATGAGAGGAAACAATACAATGAAATAGAAAATAACTCAAGGGTCTACGAAAGGAATGCAACTCTACCTCGAATCACGGACTAGTAGCTGCTAAGTACCTCTCGGGACTTCGTGGTGTAACGACCCGGCCGGTCGTTTTAAGAGTATTAGCCTCGAACCCCTATTTATTTCTCCCACTATTTCATTATGTGGTTACGTGACTCGCCAGAAGGTTTTGTTTTTTTTCGGAGTGAAATGTGACACATAGTCCCTAAAATGGAAGTTTAAGTCGTAGGAATTGATCGTAGTTTGAATTGTGTGGAGACGACTCCGTAATGGAGTTTTGTTAGTTTAAATAGCTCCGAAGGATGATTTTGGTTTTAGGAGCGTGTCCAAATGTTATTTTGGAGGTCTGTAGGCCATTTCGGCATTAATTGGCGAAAGTTGGAAAGTTAGGTGAATTTTGGAAAGTTTGACCGGGGGTGGACTTTTTGATATCGGGGTTGGATTTCGATTCTGGAAGTTGGAACAGGTCCATAATGGCATTTATGACGTGTGTGCAAAATTTGAGGTCAACCGGACTTGATTTGATAGGTTTCAGCATCGGATGTAGAAGCTTACAATTCTAAAGTTCATTAGGCTTGAATCAATGCGCAGTTTGTATTTATAGCGTTGTTTGATATGATTTGAAGGCTTGACTAAGTTCGTATGATATTTTAGGTCTTGTTAGTATTTTTGGTTAAGGTCCCGGGAGACTCGGGTGTGATTCAGATTATTATCGGATCATTTTTGGACTTAGAGGAATAGCTGATGCTGGGCTATTTCTGGTGTCATCGCACTTGCGGTGGGATGGGCCGCCGGTGCGGACTTGCATAAGCGAGCTTTGAGTCGCAAATGCGGAGCTGGCCTTTGTAATGACCCGATAGGTCATTTTTCCTTCTATATTCCCGTTCCCCTAAATAAGACTCCCCGTATGTGTTTTTATTGTTTTATGACTTGCGGGGATGGTTAGTTCGGGGCTTGGAAGGGTTCGGGTTGAAATTAGAACAGTTGGTTCCTTAATTTGGCTTTAAATTGCTAAGTTTGACGTTGGTCAACATTTTAAGTAAACGACCTCAAAACAGGGATTTGACAAATCAAATAGGTTCGTATGATGATTTTGGACTTGGGCGTATGTTCGGATCAGGTTCTAGATGACCCGTGAGCGTTTCGACGCTTAAGACTTATAGTTGGCACCGTGAAGGTTTTAAAGTTCTTTAAATTTTGTTTGGAGTATTTTTTGGTGTTATCGAGGTCCGTTTGGGATTCCGAGCCTGGGAATAGTTTCGTATGGTAATTTGGGACTTGCACGCAAATTTTTGTGTCATTCTGAGTAGTAAGTTGGAAGAACTTGAAGTTCATAAGTTGATTCAAATTGGTTTGGGGTGTGATTCTTAGTTTTGATATTGTTTTATGAGTTCTGAGGGTTCGAGCGAGTTCATTTTATGATTTCAAACTTGTTGGTATATTTGGGAAGGACCCCGGGGGCCTCAGGTGTTAATCGGACGAGGTGCGGAACTCATTCGAAGTTGAAAGAGCAGCTGAAGCACCAGGTTTCTGGTGTAATCACACTTGCAGAGGGCTAGCCGCAGGCGTAACCTCACAGAAGGGAGCCATAGACCGCAGAAGCGGCGCAGCACAAGCTGCCCAGTGATTGCAGAAGTGGCCGCTCTCACCGCAGAAGTGGACTCCCATCCGTAGAAGCGAAACCAGC